GTTTTATGACATAAAATTACATTACAACTTGGTAACAATAAACATAATTTTGCTGGTGAAGGAGAAATATGATTTGTTTACAATGCTTTTTATTTTCCCCCCGCATGATTTAAGAGAATCCTATTCTTAAGTACTGACTATGAAAAATAAGCCAAAAAAAGCAGATATTTCATTAATAATTATAGGGGTTACATATTAAAGTGGTGTTTTGAATACTGTCTCCCAAGGGTGGGGTTGTTGGCACCCAGGTCCCCAGCAACCCCGATGACAGTCCAGCTCCCAGCCTGAAGCTGCAGCTGGTGTAGGCAGCACTCAGCTGGCTCCTGACCCGGGGTACGACCCCTTGATCTGGACACAGGTGGGCTGAGCTGACACTTGACTGAATCCTTTAACACCTACGGTTAAAGCATCACACTTTCTCTGTGTGTGTGTGTGTGTGTGTGTGCGCGCGCGCAGTTTTTTATTACCACTTACAAAACAGACCATCCCTTCTGCATAACATTTTTAAACTAAGGACCGAAAACACCCTATCCGTGAGTGCTAATGGGATGCCAAATTCAGCTTCCCTGCTGCGGAGAAATCTGTGTCTTCCTGGGCGGGGAGGTAAGGAGGGCGCACAGACTCCACGGCCATGAGCAAGGATTCTCCATCATCAAGGCTGGGTCAGGACATCCCCTGACACCCACATCTTGAGGTATGTCTGTTGGCAAATCCAGAAAGAAGGGGGTCCAATTTCCTGAGACTCATTTTTTTAAAAATTTTTTTAAGTATAGTTGGCTTAGAATGTTGTTCTTTTTTTTTTTTTTCAATAATAGACCAAGGCAGAGGGAACAACATCATAGTTGATGTAAGGGTTTGCCTCACACTCTGGGGTCTGGAATGTCCTCCCATGAATCTTTGGATACGGCTGCCGTGGAGAGGGCTGGCCTCCTGCAAAGATCTCTCGGCCGGAAGCTCCGTTCCTTTGGGAAGAGTGAATCCTGCAGACGATACAACACAACCTGATTGGAAACACCGAGTATGCATCTGTACTGTATTTTGGGGTTAGTTCCCTCTTGCTGCAAAACACATGGCCCCTGCCCCTGAAATCAGAGGCTTCATGGACACACACGTCTCATCTCACAGTTCCTGGGAGTCAGGAATCCAGGCCCACGTTAGCTGAGTCCCATGCTCCCGACTGTAAACATCTCAGCCGGGGCTGGTGTCTCCCTCTGCGACGGCGGGAGGGGCCGGTTCCATGCTTCCAAGGCTGTGCTGGGCATCTCAGAGCCGGGCACCTGGCTTCCATCAGAACCAGCAAAGAAAGACTCGGCCAGCGAGATAGAAATTGCAGTGCTAAGCCACACACGCGTGGCAGCGACATCCAAGAAGCTTTGCGCTCTTCTCTGCCAGAGACGAAAGGGACGTGTCCGACCCACACGCCTGCCGTGAGGATGACATGGGCACCTGAATATTAGCAGACGGGAGTCAGGAGGGGCCACCTGGGAGACCGCCCAGCACCAGAAAACCCCTCATTCCTGCTCCCCTATAGGAACCTCTCCGCCGTGCTAAAATCAAAGCTTCTAGGATGAGTGCATTTTTTATTTTTTGTTTTGTGATCTCCCCAACTCTGAGCGGTTGACTGCAAATGGCCAGATGGAAGAGCAGTCAGCCTGCTTGAACTTTCAGTGATGTTTGAGTGGCCGTGTCTCAAGGCCCAACCCACGGTGAGCACTGTTTAATTTTCCCTGAGGTTGGATTCGTCCACGGCCAGGAGCTAGGAAGGCAGGCTTGTCCAGCAGTAGGGAGGCAGGTGGCTGAGAATTAAAAAAAACCAAGATGACAGCCCGTGGAATGAATGTGCTGCCATTTCCAGCTCCCAAGGGCATAAGTAGAAAAAAAAAAGAAGAAGAAAAGAAAAAAAAAGGAAGAAGAAGAAAAGAAAAAAAAAAGAATTGCACGAGTGTAAAAAAATAAATGAGAAAAAAAACACACACTTGTATCTTGTGCGGATTCAGGCCAAATATTTATCCAGAGGCAAACCAGTTTCCCAGCTTTGTGGGCACTGCTGTCTTTTCGATCTACCAAAAATAAAAATTTTTTAAGAGGCTGACTTGAAGAGGAAGGTGTCACAGCCCGAAAACAAAACAAAAAAGAAGCCTTGTGGAAAATTGCCACAGGAAGACAGGAGCAGGTCTGAGATGCAGCCAGAGGCAGGCTCGCCCAAAGCAAAGGCAGGACCCCTCCCGAGAACCCGGCTCAGAACAACCCCACCCCCAGGGCGGCGGGCACAGTGGTTGAAAAGGCTGGACTCCCTGCGGGGGAGGGTGCGGGTGGGGAGTGGAGCTCCAAAGGGATCAATCCTCACAAAATAAAAATTCCTAAAGCGCCAGTAAGTTAAATAGGAGAAAAACAGCCTCGGTGGGGGAGAGGGGGGAATCAGACAGGTGCAAGGAAACGCCAAAAACAATGGCTGAGGGGACCAAGATGCCACTAACGGAGGAATTCAAGAGGTTTTAAATCACACCTGCCCTTTGCTTTTGATATTTAAAAAAAAAAGTGGGGGGCGTGGGGAGAAGGCAGATACAAAGATTCCTTCTATTTGGAGCAAAAGATGTGAACATTGCCCAGCAGAGAATATTACACTGAGTTTCAGTTCATTCTATGCCAAGCTTTGCATTATTGTAAGGGCTTTAGAAGTTGCATTATTCTCGCGTGCAGAAAGGTAGTGCCCTGTGCAACGTTTTGACGCTGGCTTCTTTCCGTTAACGGAATGCTTCTGACGTTCTGCCATGTCGCGGTGGCTGTTAGTAGCGAATTCCTTTACGTTTTAATTTATTATTTTTTATTTTAAAAAATTACGCCTTCACAAACTGGTAAAAAGATTTTAAAATAAAGGTAATACCCCGTTCAAGTATCAACAGGTAGGAGACCAACAGGCACGTGACTTTATGGAGGCACCGAGGAGGCGGGGGAGCCAGCCGCCGTCCGCGGGTCCCATCAAGATCCTCAAAGCGGTTGGCGATCCCAGCAGGGAAACAGCTGAATGGAAGGTCTCCCTTGACTGAGACAGAAGCCACTTGCAATTCAGTGTCCCTGAGAAGAAAGTGGGGGGGGAGCTTTTAAAGAATGAAAGAAAATTAAATTTTTTAAATGACGCAAGACGAGAAAGACTGTGTGCATTGGTTGAAATCTCTTCCGCATTTTTCGCGTCATGAAAGGCATCAATCCCACAAGCACACGTT